GACCAGTACCCTCACTCGAGGTGCCCTGGGGTGGCCGCCTCAGGTCTCAGGCGACAGACTTTGTGAATGAAGGGGGAGCCGGGCACACACTCCTGAGAGGCCCTCAGAACAATTCTTACTTGTGCGACGCCATTAAAAGCAAGGCTGCACCAGAAACAAAAGGCCACATGTTACAGGATTCCCTCTACGTGAAATGTCCAGAGGAGGCGAATCCACAGAGACAGGAAATGAAATGGGGGGTTCTGGGGTCAGGGGAGCAGGAGAAAAGGGGAGTGACTGCTGAGGGGTGTCGGGTTTCCTTCTCGGGTGATGGACATGTTTGGAATTAGACAGTGGTGATGCTTTCAAAACTATGGATATACTAACTACTAAACTGTATACTTTAAAAAGGTTACATGTGAACTATATCTCAGCAAATGGCAGGGCAAGTCTACCTTAATAATGAAGGTTCCTATTATTAACCAAGAGTCTTATCAGGAACGGAGGAAAGTAGGAGATGAAAGTAACTCTGTCAACAGCTCTTGATAATGAGAAGGCTGGAATTAGATTTCATATTGCCTGCAGATAAAAACGTCTGGTGGCCAAAAAGTCTGGAAACAGAAGTAGAGGATTAAAGGCTCTGTTCTCAAAAAGCTCAAAGGAAAACTATGCCCTCAGAAAATGAGAGTAGCCAGTAGGAAGGGAGTCCCTGAGTTGGTGCTGGTTGCCTCCGGAGCACTGGCCAGGCCCTTCAGCTTGCTGTGTGCTCCGACATGCTGGGACCTGAGCTGCAGTCAGGTGCACCTGAGCCCTACCCACAGGTTTCCCAAGGCAGTGAGTCACAAGAAAAGCTGGGAAGCCAGCTGAGCTTCTACAGATTTTAGTTCTGCACCCTACAGCTTCTAGGCCCAATGTTGACCATCATGTAAAATCTGAGGACCCCTCTCTAAGATGGTCTGAAGAGAAGAAACAGCAGGAGCAAAAGCAGAAAGGTGAGGAAAGAAGGGCTAGACAACAGTTTGGCAGATCACCAATTTCTCCCAGAGATCACAGCAGTCAGAATAACTTTTATATCATGTCATCTCACACCCTATGTAAAACCCATCGAGGCAACCTGAAAACATGCAAACCCCCTACAACCATCTGTAATAAAATATACACTTCATGTACCAGCCACAGGGTGATGAAGCTGTATTTTGGCTAGCCCTGACCACGTGGCTTGGCTGGTTGCAGCACTGTCCTGTGTACCAGAAGGTGGAGGGTTCAATTCCGGGTCACAGCACCTGCCTAGGTTGCAGGTTCAATCCCTGGTGGGGGGTGGGTGGGCATGCAGGAGGCAACTGATAGACGTTTCTCACATTGATGTTTCTCTCTCTCTCTCTCCCCGCCCCCCTTTCCTCTCTAAGGTCAATGAACATATTCTTGGGTGAGGATAAAAAAATTGTTTAATTAAAAAAAAAAGAGCCCTGGCTAGTGTGGCACAGTGTTTTCAGTGCTGGCCTGTGAACTGAAAGGTCACTGGTTGAATTCCTGGTCAGGACACCTGCCTGGGTTGTAGGCCAGGTCCCTGGCTGGGGCTGGGGGCACGCAAGGGGCAACCAACAGATATTTCTCTCTCTTTCTTCCTCCCTCCCTTCCCTGCTCTGTGAGAATAAATAAAATCTTTTAAAAAAGTAAATTAAAAAAAGAATAAATCTGGCTAGGGAGCACAGGGAAAATTACAAGAGGTAAAGACAACATTTAAAGTAGTGTGATCATAGATCACACTTGAAGTAACACTGATTTAGGTGCTATTAATACCACCATTTTCAAGGACTTCATGACAATGACACAATCACACTGGTTAAGCAAGGACCAGACTTGATTAGACAAATATAACAGAGGTTGTCCGAGTGTTTACTAACTGGGGGGGGCTGTGTGCTCTGTACTGTGCACACAGGCCCGTGTGTCCTGGAGCCTCCCTCACAGAGCAGAGGCCCGGAGACTTCTGGCTGTTCCCAGGGTCAGCAGGCCACTTCCCCACCTTGAGCCACCTTCAAGGGTAACAAGCACAGTTTACTGCTCTCACTCTTCACCAGGGTTCTCAACATTGACTGCACATTGCAATCTCTAAACACAGTAAAAGACTGAGGATTTTTAAAAACCCCCAAACCCAGGTCAAACCTCAGAAAAAGCACATCAGAATCTCTGGGGGTGGAAACCAGGCATCAGTATTTTTTAAGGCTCCTTAGAGAATTCCAGTGGGCAGTCAGGGCTGAGAACCACTGTTTCAGGGAAAAGTCCAAGTTCCCTGAGACTAACCTTTACTTCTCTTACCGTCAGAGAATCTCGTATTTATTTTAAAGGTAAAAGAACTGGGTCTTCTAAAAGGAAGCATCCTATGAATAAATACTAATCCAGAAATAGTCATTATTTCCTAAATTTCTGCTTATATCATTAAATTTCCTCTATTAGATTTTTAATACTTTTCCAACTTCTTTTAAGAGGTACTACAAATGTTATTTTGCCTCAGAATATATACTTGGTGAATAGAATAATTCTTAAATACATAAAACTCACTTACCTGAACTACTCAGAAATATGACAGTCTCTACCATTTCACAGAATTCTTAGCAATAGACAGAAACATTTAGTTTCTTGTAAGCAAAAGAGCCAATAATAGTCAATTGGCTATGTTAAAAAATGAAAGAATGATTACAAAAAACTATAAAGCTGAAATTGACTGGCTTGAAACTACTTTGAAATCTGACTTTAACAAATGGCCCCTGTGAGAGTTAATCCACTCCGGGTCGAGGAGAAGCATCTTCGAGTTCTGTCCACATCTTCAAGTCACGTCCCCTTCCACACACACATGGATCTACCTACCCCACCTGCAAACAGACTTCTACTTTCCTAAAGCCCGCAGCAATGATCTCGGCAGGCCGACGGAGAGGTTATGTTTCTCATGAGGTTATGTACCAAATGGCACTGATGTGAGGCATGGGGGACTTTTTTGTTTATGTTATTCATAACATAAATGTTGTTCAGTATTTTCAAAAATCCTTGTCTTGCTAAGTGCATATAACTCAAGCAGCAAGGCAGTACTAAGCTGTCACACCAGATTTGTTCTAAGTGTGACAACATCTAGAGCACAAACCTGAAAATGCTTCAAAAGCTTTCTTTTTAGAAGAGCTCCTGCAAGCAGGCGACACAAAAAGAAGAGAGGTAAAGGAGGGTACTGCTGGGCGATTTGGTCTGTTATCACAGACAGGAATGTGCAAGCCCTTTTGAGTCAGGGCTGCCCACAAACTTTCTATTTACACCATATACCAGCAGACTGCATTTAACAGAACACTGCAATTCTTGTACTGCTTTCATTGATCTGAATGCCAAATGAGTTTTTCTGATATGCCTTCAGATTCTTTTGGTATTCACAGAAAACCTGATGGTGCTCTGGTAATGCCAGAGAGGGTACAAGCTCTTCTCAAACTGAAGAGTGAAGATCTCTGAATGCATCAGCAAGCAGTGTCTTACATGCAGCTAGCCTTTCTGGAGTCCCACAAAGTGTACCAGACTAACACAGTAACTATTATTTATGTAATTTCAATTTAGTTGTACAACTAAAAACTTCTAAAACATATTCTCCCCTTCCAATGATAGACACAAAATGTAATGATGTGTTATCTATGCTTTAGCCTCCTAGTTGAAAATTTTTCTTCCTTTATTTTTGTCCCTATGGTTGAGGAAAGTTACAAAAACCAATTCAATGAAAGTAAAACCCACCACCATTTTTGGGAAGAGCTGTAGAGTAAAACAAAATTCACTTGTGTGAGGAATAATTCCCAGTTGAATGCATGGAAAATGAAATTGTATAATATTTTAAAATAAACACACTATAAAGTAAAAAACAACCTTAACAAATAATAAATTCAGTTCTTAATCTGATAAGATTCATTTGTAATTTAGTTTAATTATATGAGTCATTTATAGAACCAAGAAGCTATGCTATATTAGGGATGTATTTCATAAGGTTTTTGCTTTTATATTTGGGTATTTCCCACTTACCTGTAATAAGTAGCAAGACTTTTTATTTTCTTGTATTATTTAATTATTTTAAAAAAATTTAATGTGCTGGGTTAATACCATTTAATAAGTTTCAGGTGTACAATTCTATTAATCTGTATTCTGCCTTGTGTGCTCACCACCCAAAGTCTAGTCTCCCTCCCTCACCATATATTCGACCCCTCTACCCTCTTCATCTTTCCCCAAGCCCTTCTCCTCCCATAACCACACCGTTGTCCACGTCTATGAGTTGGTTCAGTTTGTCTGTCTGATGCTTTCTATTTCATATTCCATATATGAGTGAAATCATGTGGGGTTCTTCTGGCAAGCCTTTTTACAAGCAAGACAAAATTCTCCCCTGTGTCTGAATTAACATTAATTCAGAATTTAGGAAGTCCCAATTGATGGGGTTTTACTGTCCTATGTACATGGCTATATGGTGAAATATACATTTAAATAATTATTAGGGAGAAGGAATCAGCTGTCTGGACAAGACGAAAGCTCCCCACCAGTAAAAGCAGGACGACTTTGTTGTAACACTTCCAACTTGTGCATCCATTAGAAGGTACACATCCCCCCAGTAGAAACTGATGAAATACACGTTTTGGCAGTCATCAAGAGACCAAGCATCAAGTTAAGGCTCTACCAGGGGTGTCCAACCTGCGGCCCGCAGGCGGCATGCGACTCAGGATGGCTATGAATGCAGCTCAACACAAAATCGTAAATTTACTTAAAACATTACAAGATTTTCTGGTGATTATGTGTAGAAATGTATTTCACGTGTAGCCCAAGACAACTCTTCTTCCAGTGTGACCCAGACACCAAAAGGTTGGACACCCCTGCACCTTAAGCTGTCAGTGACTACCCTGGGATGCTTAGACTGCTCTCTCAGGGAAACTGGGCGTACAGTAACTAGGGCAGCCCTGGATGGGGGAAGGGGAGTGAAAGGGAGGAAGATGGTTGCAGGGGGAGTCACTTACGAGATGTAGGCTGGGTAGCCAAATCCTATCAGGTTGCAGAGGAGAGGGGCTCCACAACCGAATACCAGGTACAAGGCCACCGCCCCGATGACACCTGGAGACATGAGGAGAGAAGTAGATCGAGTGGCACCAGAGGTACTCAAACGCACAGCCCCCACAACCACACCGCAAAGCTTGGCCAGCCAAGGCGTTGGAGAAAAACAAACCACGGAGGGAAGGTGGGGCCCTCCCCTTAGCGGGGCTTTGCCCGGGGTCTGGGAATAACGGGCAGGCCCCACCTCTGTGCCCTCTGTTCTCCCGCCCTCCGTCGCGCAGGAACCCTTCAGGGTGCGGAGCTCCATGGAGGGTCTGGCTAAGACTGGCTCGCACCGCCACAGAGCCCGTGCGCCCTCCCGCCGGCCCCCCGCCCGCCAGTGCGCGCCAACCCCGAGCTCGGCCCAGGGACACCACGCTCGGCCGCCGGGACAGACACGTCAGCGCCGGCCCTTTCCTGCTCCGCCACCTGGCTGCGGGCACAAGCCAGCGACCCCCAAGCCGGGGCCACCCTGGGAGGAGTGATCTCCGGCCCCTCGCCTTTTCGCAGCCACTTCGGTCCCCGAGGATGCCGTTTGCCCCCACCTGTCACCCACATCGCCCTCCCCGAACCCTCTCCCCGGAAGCTTCCCCTGCAGCTGGTGCAGCAGCTGCTCCCGGACCCGGCCAGCAGCCTCCGCCCCAGGCGGGCCGCAGCCCCGCACCCACCGAGCGCGATGTAGCTCCGGTTCACGCCGGTCTTGGCCTCGAGCTTGGCCAAGAGGTCGGTCAAGCTGTTCTTCTCGTGCAGGAACTGGTCGAACCTCTCTCTCATGGCCGCAGACATGGCGGGGGCCGCGGACAGTGCCGCCGCCCGGGGCTGCTCCTAGTGAGGGTAGCTGCGGAGCAGAGTGACGCGCGGAGCCGGAGGGGACGGCAGTGGGAGGGGCTCGCGTACGCGCGTCCCTCTCCGGCGGTCCCCGCCCGCCGCGCCGGGTCGCACCACCCCCTCGTCCCTCCCCCTCGCAGCGCTCGGAAGCCTGGGCCACACCCTGGGCGGCGGCCGCTCTGAGACGGCCAGAACTGCAGGGGCTCCCTGCGGGTCGATGGTCCAGTGCGTCGGTTAACAGCCTCATTGTCCTTTGAGGGTAAAAAAGGGAGATGGATCCTGTAAGCTCCTTTCGCGAATCGAATAATGCAAAAAGCAGGTGGAAAAGGAAGAGGCAGGGGCGCTTAAGGCCCCACGTGCAGTGTGGTGGGACTGATTTGATGTACTTAAACTGATGAGCTAAACCTGCTGAGACATTTTTATATCTAAAAATGGAAATGTACGACCATCCTGAAAGAACCGATTGCGAACCTGCTTTTTTTCTTCGCTGCCATAGTTTTTTCTCACCCATGTATAATAGTGTTTTTGAAAAGACCCTTGAAGAAACCTAATACACTCCTCTGGGTACATCTTTCCCAAGAAAGTACTGCACTACTTATTCCTTTTCACGGTGGACCTGCATTTGCTTGATGCTTAATATTGTGGAAACATTTCCAAACCCTTCGGCACTTGCCTACAAGCAAAAGTACACTGAAGGCAATTGTAACCCTTAGGGCAGGACCTTACTTTGCCTCCTTAAGAACGTCTTGCTCAAGCTTTTCACCCGAACCGAGGCTCCTGTTATCTCTCACCCAAATTATTTCAGGAGGCCCTTTTTGAAAGTATTACGTTTTCCTCATTGCTGAAGGCTCCTATTAACTGCAGACTATAGCTCTGATTCCTTAGCTTAGCATTCACTGGCCCTGCACAAAGTGGCCCCCCACATTCTCCATTTGTCCTACACAGCCCCTCTGCTCCTACAAATGGGCTTAATCATCATCCTGCCACTTCTGCAAAACATCCTGCCCACTCCTAGATTTTTTCTTTTATGCTAATTCACCTTCCTCTTTTCTTCCCTGATCTTCACTCAAGTTTCTCAGCACTCCCACCCCCATCCAGCCAAATGAGTGAACAAATTAAAACAAATAAAATGTTAATGGCATTATTGTGACAGCCTCCCTACTGAGCTGTCGATTTCTGTCTTTCTACCTACAGTCATTCTCGTTGTGGCAACCAGTTGGATCTTCTAAAAATGCAGGTCAAGTTGTGTTATCTTTTGCTCTAAACCCTCCAGGGGCTTTCCATCTACCTGAAGAGTGGTCTCAAGATCAGAGATGATGTGGTTCATTCCATCTCCTACTGCTTGCCTCCCGGCTGTGCCTCAAACAAGCTGAGCCCTCCTGCTGTCCCGCTTGGTCACCCTCCCCTCTTTCACTTTATTTCTAGCTCACTGCTCCTCCACCAGGAATGATTTTGCCCCCCACCCCAACCCCAGGACATGTGGCAATGTTTGGAGACATTTGTGGATGTCAGAAAGATGGTCACAGCTGGGATAAAGATGGTACCCACTGCTAGCATCTAGTGGGTAGTGGCCTGAGACGCTATTAAACTTCCTATGATGCACAGGAGAGCCCTGCACAACAAAGAATTACCCAGCCCCAAATGTCATAGTACTGAGGTTGGGAAACCTCATATCTCAAAAACTCCAGACAACCATTTAACTGTCTCCTCCAGTTTTTCAGACCTTTGCGTGAATGACACCTCTATGAGGCCCTTTCTAATCCCTAATTGTAAAGTTCAACACTCCCTAGCCCCATCTTTATTTTTTCCATAGCACTTATTGCTGTCTGAGATTCTATATACTCTACTTTCTAAATTGTTTTTCTTTCCCCACTAAATGATGAACCCCGTGAAGGTAGGAATTGTGGCCTATTTTGTTTACTCCTATATCTCTAACACCTAGAACAGTGACCAGCACCTAACAGGTGCTCAGTGACTATTTCTTCAATTAGTGAATATCTAACATGTAACATGCACTAATTCATTTAATCCTCACAACACATGAGGCAGGTGCTATGTGTTTTATCCCCATTTAAGGGAAGGAGATCAGAAAACAAGGCCTCAAAACTAATAAATGTCAGAGCTAGAATTTAGGTCTGGGTCCTCACTCCCTGTATTATACTGCTGATGTGGGTTGAATTGTGTCACCCACCGCTGCCCTGCCACACAAATGGCATTGGAGTCCTAACCCCCAGTATGTCAGACTGTGACTCTCTGGAGATAGGGCCTTTACTGAGGAAATCAAGTTAAAATGAGGTCGTTAGGGTGGGCTACAAAGCAATGTGATCAATGTCCTTATAAAAGAGGAAATTGGACACTGAGACAGGCACACATGGGGGGACGATGATATGAAGACACACAGGTAGAGAAGCTAGCCATCTACAAGCCAAGGGGACAGGCCTAACACAAATTCTTCCTTCACAGCCCTCAGATGAAGCCAAACCCGCTGACACGCTGATCTTGGACTTCTGGCCTCCCAAACAGTGAGACAATACATTTCTGCTATTAAAGCTACCCAGTCTGTGGTACTTTGTTACAGCAGCCCTAGAAAACTGTTGTAGCTGCCTACTGGAATAACTGAATTTTGAACTTTGTAACCAGTTGGGAGTTTGTTCCATTTCCTATTAAGTGAGCACAGTAATTACTCACTTATCTGGAAGTCAGGGTCATATTTTTGATTACTTCAAATGATTTACAATTTGATGGTTTCATTTACTTATTTTATTTATGTTTTTGTAGTTGAAAGTGTTTATAACTTATTGAGGTTTTTATTTATTTTTTAAGCCAAAGAGCAAAATCCTTTTAGTTTTGTTTAACTTTATTTTTCAATTACAGTTTACATTAAATTTATTTTGTATTAGTTTCAGGTTTAAAGGAGGAGAATCCTTTTAAGTTAGGTATTCAAATCAGCCTAAATATTATCGCATGTCATAGTGTCAACATTTGTACAACATAAACTGTGTATGACACATCTGGAACATACTATTCATTTGGATATATAGTGTACAAATATTCTTCTTTTCTCAGTTTTCTCCTGAGGTCCTAAGTTTTTTATTTCCTCCATTGTCCCACCTAACACGGGCAAAAGGAGGCGGCATAGTGGAGTGTGGCGTGTGGAACAGTCTCTGGGGCTGGCCTGTGTGGGTGAAATCCGAGCTGCACCATTTAGCTGTGTGACTTCAGGCAAGTTACTTAAGCTTTCTGAGCCTCTGTTTCTCTTCTGTAAAATAAGGGTAACAGTAGTACCAATTTCACAGGGTTGTCATGATTATTGAATTAGCTATTTGTGAAGTTATTGGAAGAATGCCTAGTTTTTAAAAATGTGTTTGTTAAATAAGTTAAGAAAAGAAGAAAAACATAGCTACATGCTAAAATGGAGACCATTACATGCTAAAATTGGGAAATATTATGTAATTGCCTTTAGGAATTTGCGATCAGTTTGGGGAGTGTGGAACCCTCTGCTCCTCCAGCCATCACTACAAAGCTTTAACTCTTTCGTAGGTGAGAAAAAAATATGCAGAAGCTAAGAACTCTGCCTTAGGTGTCAGACTATTCACTCACTCCTATTTATGGGCCAGATACTGCTAGACCTGGGAACCAGGTGGACCAGTCTGTCTGGGAGGCCATGAGAAAGGCTGGCCTGAAGCAGGTTGACTTTGGCAGTTCCTAAGAAGGAAATCGAACCAATCCGAGATGATGCAAATGCTGTTACTATAGTACCCTTCCTGAGCTAGAGAAGAAATTTCTGCCAGAGACCTGCAATCAGGTCACTTTAGTTCTCCATAAGCTCTTTCTTCAGGTTAAGATAATTTCTCAACTACTTTAAGTCATTAAAACACTTCAGTTCTAACTCTCACATGTTATGTAGATACCTGCTCCCCTCAATCCCCCACACTTGGAAAGCACCCTGACTTTTATTGGAGTTTGCACAGATGAGGCAGCCAGCCTTCTCAATCAGGAGGCCCTCAGCCCCTGGGGACACAGCCCAGTTGACACTCCCTGTCCCCCCCGCCCCCCCCCCCAACCTCCACTTCTGCTGGAGGAGGCTGAGGCAACATGACCTTGAAATAAAAAAGGCAAAAGACAAAATAAACAAAACTTGAAGCAGGTCTGCCAGACAATGGAAGGAAAATGCAGAGACTGAATACAATTTAAGAAGTATTAAAAGAAAGAAAATGTGAAAATCCTGTCCTTTCTGAATATATTTGCATTATATTGTTTGCCTCATTTGTCTTATTCTTAATGTTTTCTACTGAAAATATGGACCAAACATTTTATTATTGTCTCCATTTATCAAACAATAAGTTGAATTTTAGAAAATTACTGTTCATGGCCCTGACCAGTGTGGCTCAGTTGGTTGGGCACCATCCTGCAAAGTCCAAGGGTCACTGGTTCGATTCCCTCGTGGGGCACAAGCCTGGGCTGTGCTTTAGGTCCCCACCCTACAGGATGTGTACAAAAAACAACCCTGGTCGATATTTCTCTTTCACATTGATGTTTCTCTCCCTTTCTTTCTCTTGCCTTCCCCCTCTCTAAAAATGAATAAATAAAATCTTTTTAAAAATAGTGCCCTCCATTTCACCCTTTCATTTCTTTAACGGCACCTGCACAGGAGACAAGGAGAACATACATCACTTTTAGATTGTTTCTCTGTGTTCAGGATTGGCCTCATAGCCTGCAGGACAACATGCATTTTTGCTTCTTTTCCATGAAGAAAAGAATCAAAGCAAGACAATTTTGTGCACTTCCCTTTGTGACTAGGCATCAGAGGAATTTAGTTAACCTGAATAAAGGAACTGACTAGTTGTATCAGTTTCCTAATGCTGCTGCAACAAATTATCATAAACTTGGTGGCTTAAAATGACACAAATTTGCCTTACAGTTGCTACATCTGCATGCCAGATGTCTGACACAAGTCTCACTGGGCTAACATCAAGGTGACTTCAGCAGGGCTGTATTCCTTTCAGGAGGCTCAGGTAAAAATAATGTGTGGTGTTGGTTGCTTTTTCTCTTT